GTTTGGATTTTTATAATTATTTTTAAATAGAAAAATTAATAAATTTATTTCAATTATTTCTACTCCAATTACAGATAATTTGAAACTCGGAACATATTTGATTGAGCTGTAAAACTTCTTTATCGGCTTATAGAAAATGCTTTGGATTACACAAGTTTCTGGTTTTGTATGATATAATCACAGTGGTTCATTATTTGTTAAGCCTAAGTTATCACTGCTATAACTATGTAAGTCATCGATAATTATTAATATTTTTCAACAAAAACCCTTGCAACCATAAAATATAGCAACGAAATAAATAAGAAAAGCACACGATAAGGTTTTTAAGATAATATGTAAATTAGACATTTTTATATCACACAACTCTCGTCGATTACTACCAAAAAAAATAATTAAAAAGTATGTTATAAAAAGCATACTATATGATATCAATTCAGTAATGTTGCAATCGTTTAAAAGGTAAAAATATAAACTTATATTATGACTGTGTCATCATCAAAATTTATCTAATCTTAAACCTCTTTCTATTTGTTTTTGTACTTGATGAGCAATCGGGCTTTTATTTTAGTAGTTTATTACAAATTATTATTATGGCATAAACACGTAAATGACAACGAATAAAAAGAAATTAAATTCAACACCGTACCTATTTTATATTATTACGACGTTGCCCACAGTAAAAAAAATACAAAGTGTTGTAATTAATTTATGAGAGATAAAAAAGATTAATAACTACCTACCCACCTACCCAAAATGGCTTATTGAGTAGAGTAGTAGTGTTTGGTTTTTTTAAAGACTATAACAATAAAGAAGTAATGAAAACATTTGTTTCAAACAAAAATATAGTTGTTTTCCAAATGAGTTTCATATTAAGACGATAGTAATAATTACGGCTTAAATTCAAATTTACAATGCCAGCGGAACGATTCATAAGAAATAATACTTATAATTATAACTTATTCCGTTGAACCATGATTTAATTTATTATTATTATTATTATTATTATTATTATTATTATTATTATTTAATTATTTTTATAATGCCTTGGCCTTAGCAGACCAGAAATTTCGGAAATAATACGACAACCTATATTCCGACGTAATCTAAACGAAATATTATAATAAAGTATACGTATACAGGCACACAGCTGATGTGGCGTTCAGTTATCGCAGGATGTCTGAGGTCTAGACATTATCATAAATCACACGTCCGATCGATTTTCGCATACAGTACGACCGTCCTAGTCATTATTCTTGCCTACAAAAAACGGCTAACTTGGTTGAGTTTAATATTATCATAACATTTGTATGACTCGAATAAACTGCAAGAAATATGGAATCTTACGTGGAACGAATAAAGTAGATAATAAATCCGTTATCTAAAATCTATAATTTACTTAAATTTGTGTTATTGACTTTTGCACTATAACTCATTTCGTATTTCGTACGCTATACCGATTAAAATGTCAACTGAATGTATATATAATATTACTCAACTTTTCAAATAAACTTTTAAAATTATACTATATGTATTATAAGAAAGTAGTAATATTTTAAACCCTATGCATTTGAACTTTATATTTATCGGCAGTGAATGCCTTAAATCTATCGAATAAAATATATTTTTTTTTTGATAAAATTTAATTTATAAATAATTATAGTCATATACTTTAATACGAGTACTTACTCAAATGATTTAAATTATTTACATTCACATTAAATTATATCAATTAACATAAATAAAATAAAAGTTTTTAATACATTTTTAATTTAAATAATCCAAGTTATAGCTGTATTATAATGATACGCAATAATGATTACGTTTATTGATCGTAAAATAAATGTGTATTTTCAAACCATAATATTATTACACTATAAAGTACATAGTTTTGATATGTTATATTATGAACGTGTGAATAAGAAGTACATTTTTAAAATAGTTTTACAAATTTAAAATGTAAGTTTAACATAGATCAATAAACATTATAATACAACGATATAATATGTATGCCTGATTATAAAAAAGTTATATTTTGAAGAGTAGTAAGTACTTGAAAACAGTTTAGATATTATACATGGAAAAATGCACGGTCGAAAAAAGTACTATGTCCAGGATATTATTTCAAAAGCAAAAGCACTTAAGACGTGTCTCTATACAGTATGTATACGAGAGTCTTATACGTTAATATCTGTGTGTTTATATAAAAAAAAGTAACCTGGAAGAGCACATATTGCTGAAATATTCAGCGGTATACCGTATACAACGACCGTGGTGTGTATTAGATAATAATATGATAATAAAAAATAGAGCTTTAATGTTTTCACGTGAATCTGAATATATACTAAATGCATATAAGCCATGTTTTCATGTTTTTTTTTCCTAAAATCCAACAAAAACCGTCTTTATATAAAAAAAAAAGTTGGTTTTGCTATTGGAAATTGTTCAAACAGTAGTAATACTGAAAATCGTTTACAAATATCTCATGTTTAGAATATTTAGATATATTATTTTTAGACTGTGGTCGACCCAACATAATATATGATTCGATACAATATTAGTATATGGTTGAAGGTTGATCAATAATGTTCGTCCCATGTCCTGTATATTAATTGAGTAGACAGTTATATTATGCGTGATAGCGATAAATAATAGTCAACGTATTATGTGTAATTAATACGAACTGAGTTGAATACGAAATACGGTTAAAATAGATGATGACATAAACATCGAAATCGTAATACCTTTCTTGTAAATTAAATATTCTTGAAGAAACAAAAATAAAATTAAGCTTATATTACGTTATTATAAACTAGTATTTATTTGATTTAAAAGTAACCCCATCAACATCTATGCATCTCTAATTTATCTATTTATTTATATAGTTATTAAATAGTTTACGCTCGCGAATTTATGAATACAAGGAGCGATAAAAATTTTTAAATATAAACGCAATACACTAACAAGTAAACACAAATTTAATACAGTCATTGAATTAAAATGGAAATATTTTACTATGAAGTATGTAACCATTAGGCATTTAATTTAACTAAAAAATTTAAATCGGAATCATGTGGATTCAAAATTATATTACAGAGTAATTCACCAAGCAGCTTACCACTTCAGAAGTTTTTCATTTGACAATGGATGTATACAAATTATGGTTTTTAGAATTTTTAAATATGTTTAAAGATAATATTTTATAATTATTTAGATTTTTTACTATTTGAAAAGAATACCTTGATAATATAAACATCTGTTTTTAAAACAAGAACTACTTTTTTTAACTGTTTACAGCATGGTTTTTATACATTTATAGAATGATTTTCTTAAAAATTCTGATGTGCCTAATTCAGAATTTGAATATAAGTATTTTATAGTTATTAAAATTTTTATATTAAGGACAATAGTATTAGAAAACGGTTTAAAAATAATTAAAAAAAGATGATAAAATAGATGTTACATTGGAACTAAGATTTGTTATACTTGAACCATTTTTATAAATTGAAAATGTTGATTGATCGGTATAAACTATTTACTTTGTTAAATTACCATACTTCCCAAAGTTTCCAAGCTCATTATAATAGAAACTTGAACATTGGATCCTAACTATATATAATTGTAAGACCCAAAACTATTAATACAATGTTTATTTTGATATGTCAACATTCTCAGATAAATTATCTGCTAAATAATATACTGCATAAAAGAAGAATTGTCTTGAATAAACACCAGTTTGTATTTCTACAGAATACTGCTTAAGTAGTACCGAAAATCTCAATAATTTGAAAATATGGTTTTAAAGTATATTTAAAAATTAAAAAATCAGATTTTGAGTAACTGCATTATTGGAGAAGAGAAAGGAAATGAGCGCTGAACACGCTTGGTAAAAACAACGTGTATATCATATTATTTTTTTTATTAAAAAACGAAAAATTGGTTTGTTAAATATTGTTAAATTTGATTTTTGTATTTAATCGAGATCGATTGTGGAAACTTGGACACTTTCTGATGGAAAGTTATGTGAGTACAATACCAACTTGTCTAAAAAGTCGTTTTAATAAACATAGACCGAATACGTAACTACTTTGCCCAAGTGATTTCGCTTGTTGGGTCACGTTTCCTATCACAACTTTTAGGACCGGAGAGAAATTATCCGTGTCGTGTCTCGATCAATTATGTGATCAATGTAAAAACATGGAGAGAAACTATAGTGGCGTTTTCGTTTAAGCCACTAATTTCGTGTTAAACGTAATTAATGTATGAATTAGATTAGCCATCATAATGCAAAGTCGATTAAATCGTAGATGAAAATTCTAATTGACACAACTCATCCTTCTCATCCTTTCCTTAGTCAAATAATAATAGTATTATTATTCGTTCCCATCACCACATCTGACAGCATTTATCAAACACAATTGGAAATATTAGATAATGCGTATAATTAATATTATCATTGTTACTGAGGAGTAATCAATAGCTTAAAAATGATGATGAATTTTATATAATATTACACAATGATTTTAATACCTTTAATTTATTTGCATTCAATCGTTAAAAATAATTATCTGTTCAGAGCATTTTTTTTTTTTTTTTTTTTTAGTTATATATATTATTGTTGTACCTTGTCATTTTTTTTAGTTTTTAAACTAAACAAAGCAGTTATGTCACAGAGTTGTTGTTTCAATACAATAAACATTTCAATAAATAATTCTGTAATATAAGATTCATTTCAGTGTGATAAATGCCCACATTAAATCAATTGTAAACTTAATATTAATAGTTAAACGATAAAAGTGACAACTAAAAAAAAAAAAAAAAATAAAAAAATAAATAAATAAATAGTCTAACGTTAATATTTCATAGACTACAAACCCATACGACAATACCTATTATAATAATTTTTTCTGTGTGTATGCGTCATAATCTATAGGGATTGCTTATAATAATAGGTGTATAAAATATAATAGTGATATACAATGATTGTAATAAAAAATTCTTACTTTTTCACCGCTGTCCGATGGCAAGTAAAACGTCAAAACTGTGAGGAACGAGATTCCCATGCATGGGATGATGATGTTTACCGTATAGAAAAGTGTTTTCCTCCTCATGGTTATATTAAACGTTATGTCTAAATACGGTTCGTCACAACATGGATAGATCTTTTCGTTCCTATAAAAGATAATTTTTTTTTTTTTTTATAAATAACTTTCAGTAATAAACTATTATAGCTCGACAATTAATTAAAATAAACGTATATTTGGTTAATAATATTATACATAGTAACTTATGAATATCTTACATGGTAGTAAATATAAAATAAAATAAAAGATAAGACTGTTTGCACAATAAAAAAGTATATAAAAAATATAATATAATGAATAATTATTGAATAATAAATAAAATATTAACTATTGAGATTAACGTTTATGTAAAACCTAGGTTAAGAGGGAAATAAGTGGACCAATTAAAGAATTTAAAATAGAAATAAATTGCAATATTATAGTTGAGACGGTTTATAGGGAAGAATTTTCATAACAAACAATACATACTTAATTTTGTTTGTTTTTTATCGCGTTTCGATTAAATTGTATACGTTTTCGTTCTAGAACCGTATGTCATAATACTTATAATCTATTTTGGAGAAAACGTAATACATAGATTTGCGGACTATAGAAAAAGCTCCAGGATGACATAAAATTGTTTATCAATATAGATTTAACACTATTTTTTTGTTTTAAAAATAACTTTCGTGGGCTGAAATATGTTATTCAATATTATGTTATAGTACTGACTATGCAAATATATATAGTTATATGCGATATACGTGTTAAGTAAAATAGAAAAATTTATATTAAAATAATTTTCTTTGTACACAATAATAATTGCATGTATGAAATATGAAAGTGGTTAAAATTTTGAGGTTACAATCTCAGAAAACAGTGTTAAATGTTTAAATTCGAGGGCCGTGAACATTCTTTAGATCTTTGCATGATTAAACTTATGTGTAATAACACTTATATAATATAATATAGTATTATACGTATATATACGTATAATATGTATATACGTACATTTGTCTACTACACATGGGATTATAAAGGGGTGGGACTCAAGAGGTTTCAATTTTCCTTCCTACATTTTTGAGATCACGAACATATAAAAGGCTCTCACTTGACATTTTTTCCCTAAAAGAACGCAAGAACGCTTACAAAACTAGAGTAATAAAATATAGTTTCGCTTAAATTATTATTAATTTTTCTAATATTGCAATTTTTTGTATGTATACTTCAATCAGAAAATAAGTAGACAAGATCAAAAAATAAAGGAATAAACTAAAATGAATCATTTTTTTTTTTTTTTTTATGATATCATAAGTTAATTTTATATCCTATAGGTATATTTAAAAAATATTTATGTTACATAGTATTGGCATAGAGAAGTCTTTAATTTAAAAAAAAAAAAAAAACTATCTTCTATTAATCTCTCATTAAATTATTTTAATGTTCAAATATCGAGTATAATTAGTATGAAGGCAAAGAAATGTATGGAAATCAAAATATTTTTCAAGTATAAAATAATAGATATATACGTATAATATAACCAGTATGTGTCATATTTAGCCATTTAACGAAATTATATTACAATTTTTTCGACTTAAATAAATTAATAAGATATGCATCGATTGTAAAACTTAGTTCAAACTCGATGTACTAAAAATCACACTTAGAAAATGTTCTCAGTACTAAAAATTTATTCTCGTGACAGCGTATAATACCTAATATTTTAAACCGCCAGTAAAAATATTTTTTCGGGTAATTGTGTAAAATAAGATCGATAGTTAAATTGAAAATAATGTTAAGTATTTTTCATTTATAACATATTTAATTAATTATAATATTATATAGATATTATAATAACTTCATTGGATATATTATGGACAATTTATTATTTATTTTAAACAATTTATAACATTTAAGTGATAAGGTCAAGTTTTTTAGGTTTCATTGATCCATTCTCTTCTTAAGCATGATCATATACGTATACACGTCATGAATTAGTTAAGGACAACGTTATCAAATCATTCGAATATTCGATTATTACTTTTAACATTATTATCTATAAAAAAATATTAATCCGTGAAAACCACAACGGCCATGACTCATTAATAAATTTATAATTGTTATTTATGTTACTGTTCAAAATATTGAGTTAGAAATGACGTGTATAAGTATAAAATATTATTTTCCTTACTACACGACTGTCACCAAAATGTAATGGTTATAAATATGGCATTTTCCTATTAGGCACTTATAGACAAATCTATAATCTATAATACATATAATTATTGAAACCAATTGAAACGAAAATACGTATATAAATAGTCATTGAGGAATATTTAAATATTTTAGTATCCGTTAAAATATTTTACAGGTCTGATGCGAGTGAAAATAATAATTATCATAAGAATAAAAAAATAAATTTAAGCCATCACTATTCTTAAACATTCGTATATAAGTAGCAAATAGTAAACTTGAAGTTTTATTTTTAAACAAATTAAAATATAAATAAATCTTAGTAGTCTCAAACAGTTATTATATAACCACCGAAATGAATAGAATAGAAATCCCGTAAAATAATGGAAATATAATGGAGAATGTTATTCTTTCTTATCCACGAAAATAACTTCAACATCGAAATATTACTAAAAGCAAAAAAAAGTTTTTATTCGAAACGAAAAAAAATGAGTTCGAGGGCCAAAATCTAAGTTAACTACGATTCTTGACTTTATAAAGCACATCGTAATGTAAATAAAAAAAAACTTTCCGCCCCATTAAAATGTATTCGTTTATTTTTTTAGAGTAATAACAAAAATAAAAATAAGTAATCGGAAATCTTTGAGCGTGAACAATTCGTTGTTTTTTTCTTGTAGTTTATTATATAAGTAAAAAATGATAATATATTATATTTTACACATGTTTTTATTACAAATTCCTAAAAAAGGATTTTGTTACAATATGCTGACACATACTTTTATACATTATCATGTATTGCGATTTTGGAACAATACTATCGATTTATGAGAGTTTTTTACGGAATCATTTTAAACATAGAATTTATATTATATAAAATAAAAGAAATAGAATCGTATTTGTTGTTATTTTTTTGTTTTTACTTTTTTTTTTTAACGAGAAAGGCGTCTTTATCGTTTACGATCGTCAGCCGTTTACTACAGCTATATAGTACGTCGTATAGAGTTAGTGTTTGTGACCCATAGAAAGTGGCCAAGGTAAATATATATATATATATGGTTCATGTAATGTTGAATAATTTATGAGTGCCTTTACAAGAATCGTGCGTTTCGATTCAGGCCGTACTCACCAGAAACACACACGCTTGTAAACATATGTGAGTATTTTATTTTTCATAACTTATGCATTTCTTTACGCACTTTTAATTATTTTTAATATATTACCTGACCGCTGGTACTTCCAGTATGTCCCATTCGACCGACATGTAAAATTCTGAGAGATCCACTCCGACGTCGACGATGTTCGAACCAACCTTTTCGTCCATGTGTCTCAAGTCTACCTGCAAAACGACTCTTATGCATATTTCATTGGTTCGGTTATTATTAAAAAATAATAATAATAATATAAATAAAAACATTTTACCGACACACAGCGGGTTGTACTATGATAATATGAGATGACATAAAAGAGAGCTACGGACCGAAAGCTCATTTCCTATAAACGAGTAATACTTACTACTCACTCTTTTAAAAAAATATTTTAATTTGAACTATGAGATAGAGATTTTCAATAAAATATGACTAATTTTTGATAATTTTACCAAGAATTAAATTGGATTTTATCTCATATTAAAGAATTAGTTACAATTATTTCAAACACGGTTTTAAGTCCCAAAATATATAATTCAATATGCCAATTCAGTTGTTAAAAAACAATGTTTCATATAAAAAAAAAAAAGATAGAAAGTTAGAAAGTTTGTCTTTAAGTTAGAACTTAGTTTTTTAATATTCTCTTATTTTTTTAATATTTTATATTAAACCTAAATATTTTATAACATGCTTTTAAGATTAAAATTAGTTTAAACTAAAAACAAAATCAAGAAGTCCAGTAAATGCTTATATTTTGTATAAACAAACTATTCTAAAGTTTAAATAAATTCATTGTTTTCTTTGAAAATATTCAATAATCTGAAATGGTCAAATGGTAAATTTTGATTAAACTATGATTTTATTCAACTTTTTACTAAATATAATTGTATGGTACTTGCTTGGATGTATAGTGTATACTTAAACCGATTGATTTAAGTTATACGAAGTTAACAAATATACCTTATAAAATTATTTGAAATATAAATGTAATTATTATACAGTAGGTATGTACTAACTGTTTTATCAGGAAACACTTAACGATTTCTCGAGAATGTTTTGATAAGTAATATTGTTAAGAGGATAAATTTTTTTGACAAGATAATAAAAAACAAAAATTAAAATATTTATAAAAACTGTTGAAAAGAATGAACAAGCTACTTAGAAAGTATTACATGGTAATAAGACTAATTAATATCGATAACCTAATGTAAATTATATCAAGGTATTATAATTACTCAAATTATATGTATTACCCATTAATATTAATTTTTTCGTACAGTTCACAAAAATAATTTATTCACGTACAAGTATTTTTGAATTGACATCTATTTCACTAATTATTTTGTCCAGAGAAATATTAATTTTAACCAGAATTATAACACTAATTTTATAGTAAGGTTAATGATGCGTTTAAAAATACACTACCTGGGATCAGTTATAACTTATAAAGAGGTGAATTCTGTGATTTTTTGAAGACAAAACGGATAACAATGACAAGAAGTTGAGTAACTCATAAGCAGTAAGTAGTTACCTCGTGTAAACAAGCACGTATACAAGTGAAGTAGCGGGCTAACCCTCGAAATGTTTTTCAAAAATATTTATTATTTTTTTTTTTTATTATGTAAGTATAATAAGAATTTTTTTATGTTCATAACATGACTTTTTCTTTATTTTATTTTCTGCATTTAAACCCACTATCAGTATTCCCATTTCATACAATAAGTTGGATGAAATGAAAAATAAATTGCGTATAAATTTACAACACATATAATACATTTTTATTCACCATAATTTTACATTATTTACCATGTACAATGGTTTTAACTTCGGGATGTTTTAAAAAACTTATCTTCTTTTTAGTATTTTAGACTGAAAAACCATCGTATTTGTCATATTAGTATATGATAAATATTATAATGAACAATAAGCTTAAATTTTCTATTTTTTTTTTTTTTTTTATTTTTTTTTATTAGTCAGCTGTTAAGAAATTAGTATTTTTTCGAAGTTAAAGAATTTGTTTCGTTTCGTAGCTCTCTTTTATGATAATAAGTACATAAAATGGTAAATATATAATATATAAAATTTTAAATCTTTAACTCAAATACTTTTGAAGCGTAATCACTACTACAGCCAAAAATATAATATAAAAACCAAAAAAAAAAAAAAATAAGTACTAAATAACCAACTAATACGAACAAACCATGTCACTAAAAAAAAAAAAAAAAAGCGGTATACTGAATGACAATAATATTTAGCACTTTACTATTTTAAGTAGGTATTGACATATCATTACCTATTCAAAAAATTAACCAACCATTCATACACATTTTTTGGAGTATTTAAATTTTTTTAAACGCAATATTAATTATTTATGTCGATATTTATGTTTATTTGTTTGTATTAACAATTATATCATAAATCATAATATAATGAGTATATTCGACATCTCGACATTCAATCATTTAAATGCATTGTTTAGTTATTATTGATTAATAAATATGTACACAGTTAGTGTAAATTATTATTAATAACTATAAATTTCACCTAAATTACATATTATTATTTTTTTTTTTTTTATTGTATAATCTAAATAGTTTCAAATTTTTGTTAACAGTATCTTTTCTAAATAAATTATAATCCTTCATTTGAGTAAATTCTTACATAAAATTATGCGAGTAAAACTATTATGTACTAACTAATTGTGTAGTTCTAATAATACGAACTTATGGTATGGAAATGGATATTAATAGCAAATGTGTTAATATCTCCCGAGCATGTTAAACTTGAGAACTTAATTCCTCATCACATTTCATACTCCAATTATCAGATAGAACCCCAATGGCGTTTTGTAGTGTTTGGGACGAAAACTAAAATTTCTGACAGTTTTGGATACTAAAAATACATTTTATCCAATGATAAATAATCCAATTGGAAAGAGAATAAATCATTGTAATTTATGTCAAAATTAAGGGTCATGAGAGTACTAATGTGAACGAAATATTTCAAAAACTTTCCCGACCGCACCAGTTAGAACTGACCCACTAAAAGTGAACACTAATTATCGTGTTATATTTCCCAGAATCGTTCACATTTCACTAAGTCCTAAAATAGTATTATAGAAAACAACAATGTAATATTTTTGGGTACTATAAAATGCATATTATTATATTTAATATTTACACGTATTAACACTTATACAAAGTAGTGTTCAAAATTTGTATATTTTAAATTTTTAAATGTTTTTTTTTTCAAAGTTTTATTTATATACCTGAGTGTTGGACAACCCTTGTTATCTGTTGGAGCAATTTTGTTTAGTGTGCGGTATTCTAATATAGTCAGCTTTATTTTACGATAAAGGTACGAGAATGGCATAATTTATTTTTTTATTTTTTGAAAGTATACTTTATACCTACTTGACATTCTAATGTTGAAGATTACAGGGGCATAGTACTTTGCGTCTGAAAAAGGCGTTAGTGATCGTAAGACGAGAAAACGTCGGTGATAAAATAAAATAAAACATGGATATTATATTATTATACCGAGGGGTTATAAAAAATCTTTACATTTTAAAACATCTCGTAAATCTTGGAAAATGCTTATTTTGAGGGATAATATATTTGAAAAATCAATATTTAGGTAGTGTACTAATTGTGATTTCCTCTAAAAGTAAATATTTATAAAAAATAATATAGTTAACATTTAAATTACTTATCTACCTATTTATATATGTTATGGATAATAACTATTATGCATGATATTGAAAACTAGTAACTATATATTTTAAAATAACTATATTACTATAAATGTCTAATAGTATAATGCTTTGTTTTATTTTTTTCTTAACAGAACTATATGAACTATTTTATACACAAATTTCACAGAAATTTACTTGGTGTTAAAAAAAATAAATAAACTAAGTTAACAAATTCTGATTTTAATTCTAAAAATGATTTGTACTCGTCAAAAAACATCTACGGCCATAAGGAACTATTTCCATCTTATATTTAAAAATTTGATGAATTCATATTTTCAAGTTTTTATTTACAAATTTAATATTAAATAAAATTATAATTTGGTAAAATGTTTTCTCCAAAGAATGATCTATTACATATTTAAACTAAATTAATTTTTTTTTTTTTTTTTGAATTAAAATAAGATGATGAAAACTAACTTTTTTCTTTAAATTTAGGTCTTTGAACTAAAGTTGACGGTAAGTAGTTCAAAGCCCATAAGATGGTTCTTAAAAATAAAAATAGAAATGTGCATACAAGATATAGTAACAAGATCATTTTTAGTATACTTTACTATAATAATTTATTTTATTTTTTTTTTAAGTGGAAACTATGCATTTATAAGTTAATTTAAATAGATCTATACGTATTTTATATTAAATTTAAGTCTTTATATATTTAACGTAAGAAAGTTTAGAAAACGTAATATTAGGCTTATATTTTTTTTTTAAACACCTTTTCATTCAAAAATATCGTGTTTGGAAGAATAAATAAATTGAAATCAATTAAATCAAAATAGTTTTAAACATAACTATTGTGGTTTTGTTATCACGTTTTAGCTTTACCCAATTAGGTACTAGTGGCGGGTGAGTACTGAAGAGTTTTGAGAGTCTTAATTGTACAGTCACAAGCTGATTCTCGAAAACTTTATATCCACAAGCTTACTACGTTAATATCAAGGATAGAGAAGCGTGCGACAATAATATAAAATACCGTTGAACATAATGGTAATATATATATTATGTCCAAATTTCGTTCTATTAAAAAAAAAAAATCAGACCGCCGTATGATACCGAATTTTGTATAAAAATTTTTGACCCGATAATTTTATACAAATGTAAATAATAATGGAAATATGTAATAATATTTTAGATTCCTCTCACTACTATTTAATTTTGGTATTACGTCTGTTATACTACCTATGCAAAATATTAACAAACATTTAAAATGAAATTTTCACCTAGGTAGAAATGATGGGTGCTTGTTGGACACTTACACTGTACGTCATTTTTCCCGGGATTCCGTATACATATTTAATAATATCATCTAAGGAGGCGGTGGAACACGACATAATATTCATATTATACTTTTTCAAACTTCGTCATATACTCATATAGCATAAGCACATCATATCACATACCGACAACCATGTTTATGTATGATGAGCGTTCGCATTGTTAGCTGTCATCGTTGTATTGCGAGTGAATAACGTCCCGCTCGATAGTGGTACGATGAATTCTACCAGTCGAGCGCGTGTTAACATTCAGTGACGGTTATTGCATTGTATCATTTATTATTTTGCACTGGTTATGTATAATATTAATTATTAATATCATCGGATACAGTCGTCGCCACTGTGGCGTGTATGTTTTCATGAAGCACGATGACCTTTGCTTAGGTTACCCGGACCACGGTATTGGGACTACACAATTGTGCGTGCGTGGTCTAAAAGTGTCAGCCTGTGGTCGCCCCAGAGTGGTGTAGTTCAACGAGCGCATCGCACGTAATTAAAACGGCGCCTTTTTGTCCTTAGTTATAGTAAAAATTGTTGTCTAAAATCAGACAACGTCTCTGAATTAATGAACTGGAATTATCAAATTATTTTTTTTAAATTTTTTTTTCGAACGTTTGATAGGTACTTTCTATAATTATCGATTCTGCTTCAGTTTTCTTGTTTGCACAGTTTAAGTGTGTTTTTTAAGACAACGCTTGATTGTAGAAAAATTAATCACCTTGTACGTTTATGAATTCTATGAAATACTATTTTATATCACTTCCGGTACCTTTATTCCACTTGATCGTTGTTTTGTTTTTTTTTTTCATGTTTTCGTTTTATTATATTATTATTATTATTATTATTTTATCGCCTGTCAGGCTGTTACGGAATATTCTCTAAAAATATTATTATTCATAGCATCACTACGTATATAAACATATTCGGTAAAACCAAACGCAAAACTTTGTCAAAACCAATAATAATAATATGTCGTCCTAAGATCTAGACGAATGCGTGGGAACACAATATAGTACGTACGTGCTATTGTTGGTCAATATGTTTTCGAGTGATCGAAGTTAATTTATTAGAACAAAGTTTTTGGATATTGATGAGACTTGATAATATTTTGTTTTTTATTCTATAGACGTCGTAGACAATTCTATTTAACGTTTGTCTGATTTTATTAACTTTACATGAAGTAGTTTGTCGTATAAATAAAAATAATTTAATTTTTTCTCTGATACAAAAGTGTATTATAATGGCCATAAATATATTGAAATAATTTTCAGTTTTTTTTTTTTTTTCAAAATGTGAAAACAAGCTAAAAATAGGTCGAGCATGTATGGGCGTAATTTATTCTTAACGATTGAGTTAAATGTATTTTATTGGATAAACGGGATACAAGCATTATCAAGAGCCGGGGCTTAAAATGAAATAAAATATTTTTTTTAAATAAACTGTGTATGAGTATAGGATCGTACATTTTATTATAGCATAATATTAAAGCTGTCAGCCTACGGATAAATATTAAAAATAAGCCAGCGGGATCGACGAGTTATCCACTGCGTTGTTTATATAATATTATGTATTTTATTAAATACCCATCCGTAAAAATTGATCGATATTCTCCATGAAAATATATTGTCAGTAACATGAACGTTCAGTATAGGTTTTTATGTTATTATTTTAATAGGCGCAGTATAAAATAATGAAAATTGTCATATTATTTTCCTACGATTTCACACATTCATAAAAACATATCACAACAGCGTTACAAAATGAATCCACCCAAAATGATAATCACACAAGCCCCGCATGTACCTGGTTCATCGAGTACAATTTACCGTTTGTATATTATCTAAAATGTCTAAGAAAACATAATAATATTACGCTACACTATATAATATAATAGTATGTAATATACGTGCACACAACTATATAAATGTCGTTACTAAGTACCTTTAACTAGTGAATATACCATTACGGTGCGTGAAGCAAACTCTCTACCAGTCAAACGCAATCACTTCCCCAAGGTCAAATCATTATAATTGAATTTTTCCACATAGACGTCACAATATCACAATATAATACGATGATCCCTCGCGGGACGGAAACAGAAATGTTGGTCGGTGGAGATTTCTCGTCGTTTTGCGAATTAACAATAGAAACGTCCACCACCGAGTGGTAATCAAAACAAAAGTTAATAAAATCACTATGTATTCTATCAGTTTTATACGTTGATGGACGACCGATCGGGGCGGTTCTTAAACGTTGTTATAGTTCATTATGACTACAATCAGGGCACGATTACGGTGACGATGACCTTGTAAGACGCGTATCACGGCAATGCACACGAAATAATAATTTCTGTATTACGATATTATCGTGTTACTGCAGCATCGCCACAAACAAGTACAATATTAAAACTTTAATAAGTTATCGTTATATCGATGAACCAGGAAGAATTTTTTTTTTTTTTTTTTGCCGGCTAAGCGGTACATTATCATTGTCACCTTGAACCCGTCATACGTCCAACTTCCTAGTTTCAGTACGCAAGTTTGGACGTCATAGGGGAAGAACTCGACGTCGATGGAGCACGAGGACTTATAGACGGCGGGTGGCTGCCATAATACAAGCCCCGTACAGTAAACCGTCGCCTTTGTCATAAGGGTCACCTCGTAGTTACCGTCCGCACTGGAACAACACAACATACCACGTCTACTAGGCTACTGATAATACAACTGTACGCGGCTCTTGTGCGCTACGCACGTACCGGGCGCAATGCTCGAGAATAATGACAATAATTAATACGTTGCATGTATTTTACGCTAATTGAGATATACTTTATAGTAATAACAGTTATTAATGTTCTGTATTTTTTTTTTTTTACTTATAACCTTGGTGGTGGTCCCGCTACAAAGGTATCCGAGACGAGACGCCATGCGCTATAGCTCAGTATGACTTATATGTATATATTGTTAACAATATTATGTTTAGGTCGGTTAGTCAATTTTAGCCAACACAGTTTAATGTAAGCCATAAATTATCGTTTGTTTTTTTTTTATTTCTTTTTTATCTCTATTATAATAATTAGAGTTGATCATTATGGTTATATAGTTTTCATGACAAGGCATGTGCCAAAAATATCTTTATAAATGAATTTATATAGACTTTACAAAAAACTTCTTTCTTTTTATTTAATTTACGAAAAAAAAAATTGTCATTGGATTCATTATTTATTCTTTACCTAAGCTAAACTTTTTTGACAAAACATTTTTGAAACACGTTAAATTTTAGTAGAAAGACGTAAATATATTACGTATTATGTAAAAGAAATGAAATAGTTTATTTAATATTTGTTTAATAGCAATTATTTTATGAATATCAAACTTTATTTATTTAGTGTTTTTATAAAGATATTGACTTTTTATTCTTTAAAAATAAAATAGTAGAAATAAGATTAATAACCTATCGTCAAAATGTTAAAGCAATAATCTATTATTTAAATATTATACATTTTTATTGTTATTAAATTCTCCAAATAAGCATGAAATAAAAACAGGATATTATTTACAGTGTAATTAACATTAATAGAATATATCATTTTTTTATTTATAACCAAAATAGTCGTATTATTAGAATTACTTATTTGAAAATAAAGAAAGGAAGTGGTAGTATAAATTAAATCGTATTATTTTATTATACTATTTAGTCATTAAAGAATTGGATTTGAGAAAAAGAAAATTATCGTTGAATATGCAAATCTTATTGGCTGGATACAAATTTTTAGGCATTAAATGAGATTAAAGCGATTCAGTAAAGATTATCTTTTTCTTTTTTAATTACAATCTTGTATATTTATTTCGAGTGAAATGCCAATTTCCAAGAAGTTAATAAAGTAAAATACTAACTACTGTTATTCTCGAGCATTTCGCACGGACAGTCGGAATTTCACCATTAATACATTGCATACACACATATTTACATATTATAGTTATTTATATTCACGCGCAGCCGGAAAGTGCACATTTAATCGATTGACATAATATATACACTAAATGTTACAAGGAAATCATATAGTACAAAAATAATAATAATAATAATGTTTTTAAATTAAAAAATATTCAAGCGATTATTTAGTGCTATAGACATGTACCTACAAGTACATATTATATCGGTGTCACATGTTTTTATTCATTACCATAAATTAGGTATAGGCATAACGTTTCCAAGTGAAGTAGGTATAATACAATACATAAGTACAAGACAATGAAGAAGAAACATAATCATATTATTGTAGATAAAAAGAACAAGGCTAAAGAATAGATAACATTATAATAGAAATACTTGTATAATGTATACTCAATACTCATAGTTAATACATACATTATATATTTATTTATTTTAAGCGTATTTATTATATACAGCGTTGATAGATCAGGAGTTTGGACCCGAGTCCCAAAGGTCCTGTTTTATTATTAAAATAGTAAATTATGCATGAACAAAAAAAATAAATAAATAATAATAAAGTGTTTTGGTTGCAAGTCGGTTTGTTCGTGTGTACGAGTGCAACAACAACATCAAAAACAACATTCAATAACAACATCAACAACAATAACAGCAATCATAGAGAGTATATGGTGGAAATTGCATTTTGTAAGTTATATTTCTTTTTCGTTTCTGGTAGAAAAAAAAAAGAATAAAAATAGGCTTAATAACAAAATAAAGAACTGCGAAATTATCTCGTTATAGACAGTTTTTAGTCATCGCGGAGTATAGACAGTGCATTTTATTATTTATGTGTAACCAAAGCAGAGAAATAATATTATGACTTAAGACTCGTATTATTATTTATTTTATTTTATTTTATTTTTTTTTTTTTTTTTGTCCATTTCCGTGGTAAAATCCGACGGAAATGAACAAAACAAACAAACTGCTATTTTTTCCTTATGGCCACATAGTTGTGCGTGTATGTCGGAGTTGGGATGGGGGAGGGGTACCTTGAATCCGTCGTACGTCCAGCTACCGAATTTCAACACGCACGTCTGCTCGTCGAACGGGAAAAATTCCACGTCGATCTCGCACGACGATTTGAATATGGCCGGCGGTTTCCATTCTACCAGCCCTATGTGGTATATGGTCGCCTTGGTGGCCAGCGTCACGTCGAAATTGCCGTCGGCGCTGCGGATCATACACAATAATACACACAAATTGCAACATAACCATCGTCAGCGAGATTACATATTATAATAATGTATGTATATATATATATATATATATATATATATATATACACACCTATACCTATACCTATACCTATACATATAAAATGTTAACATAAACCCATATAACGTGCAGTAGCGTATACATGACTAGCGTGAAAGAGGTGGTGAGAAACAAAAAAAAATTATAATAATAATAATTATCATTCGCTCAACAACGACATATTTTATATATGTGCACCTAAATAACGAAGTACGTATTTTGTGGCTGATACTATAAATCATGTATAAATGTATAATATATAGTTAATCAAATTGGAAAAATATATTGTTAGTAAAAAATATCGTTTTAAATGAAAATGTTAACTTTCCTCTAGCGTGTCGATAAAATAACGCACATTGAATAGGTTTAAAACGACTACAATTAACATTTTTTTTTATTCATATCGGCTACACCGAAAATTGCTTTAAATTGTATAATGTATTTATTTCAACATTATAAATTATATTTTATAAAAAATACAATATAATTTAATATTGAATTGTAAATAATTTAATTTTATAAACTCATTATTTTCCATCTAATGAAAAAACTATCGGCTATTGTATAAAATACGTAATATGAATAATACACAATCATTCAGTTAAGAATCTTCTATAAAAATATTATTCTTAGTTTTATATTCTGAGCAAACAGAGAAAAGTACTTATTGGTTATTACCTACTTATTATTAATAAAGTTTGAAAGAAAACTTTCATGCGAAGAACACTTATAAAGTTGAACAAGTGTTATTATTATATAATATTCATTTCGATATAACATCAATATCGGCTCTAAATAAAGTGCATATAAGTGTCCAAAATTATCAAAATTCAAAATATATTGAAAACATTAAAGAGTTTGAATAGACATTAATGATGATATGATACATATAAATTATGAATAAACTTATGAAATAAATACATATTCAAAATATTAGAAATTTTTGTGGTCTATGTAAAAAGGGGTTTAACCATCACATCTCGCTTGTAAACACTACTAATAACCTGTCTTGCTATGTATATTATATAATATAATATAATATAATATTATGTACATACAAAAATAAGTAAATAAATCATTAACTAATAAACCATAACCGACATCGACGGTTGCATAATTTTATCGTATTATAAACCTTGATAATTTAGTATAATAGGATACTAATAACAGTTTATACTAAAATAATTAATTTATAATATTACCAACTTAATTAAGTAATAAATATTCATGATACAATTATAATAATAAAAAAATCTTACTGATAACTTAATATTATTTATAAACATTATAACAACTAGGGCTAGGATTTGTATGCAACAGTATAATATATTTTGAAAAAATACATATTATGACTGTAAAACTCAAATAATGCATTTTTTATGGTATATTTTGTTAATAAACGTTTTTATCTTACGACAGTATGTATTGACGCTGTTCAGAAATATCTATTGAAGGTATACCTATACTAAGGTATAATAAAAAACCGTCCAGTTTTGAAAATTTAAAACATAATTTAATTGTTTTATGTAATACATTTTAATAGCGTGAATAGTTAAGAATATTATTTAATTCATTTTAAAACGTATGATTTTTTTTTTAAATGTAAATTTCATATTTTTTGGCGTATATAATATTAATTACATATTTTTACACATTTTTAATAAAATAAATACATATTTTACAACTTTTTATAGCATATAAATCCTAGCTCTAAATTAATAACTAAATATGTCGCGCTTTCGTACGTTTACCATACACAATAATTTGCCACCGCCAACGCCACCAGATCGTAATTCGTACATCATGCAGAAACAATAAATGGACGAAACCGTAATAGATCAATTCAACAATAATATAATATACTCGTATTATTATGATTGGTGGTCAAGTGGGTAACGATAATTACTTCGTGGTGATGATTGCCCAGGTATTTCCTGCCGACCAATATAAATCGGTTATTACCCGGTTTTCGTCAAAGCGCGTTTACCATAATTACGATTCGCATAATAGTGTTTATCATTCCCAGTATACTCGTTAGTACGTTTCATGTTTAAAATCATACTGAATAAATTAAATAATATAACGGTATCGACGTAAATATCACAGTTATACTGAGTGGTACAGATATACATTTTTTTCTACACAAAAATATAGCTCTTTGTTTAGTTAGAATATAATATTGTTTTACAGTAATTATTTGTTAGATACTAAATGAATCGTTAATAAAACTGAATTCTTCTGAAACCTTAAATATAAATAAAAGAGTTAAAATATCAATAAAAAAATCATTTAAAAAGGAACACTGATTAAAAATTTAAAAAAAAAAATCATTTTTTATATTAATTAAGTAAAAATAATTTTTAAATATTATCTATATTTGCCCTTTAAAATTAATTAAATAGTCAAAAATAATTTACAAACAAATAATATGAATCATTTTAGTATTTTATTTAAAGCAGTGTTTATCAGACCATTCGAGTACACATACCATTCTTAATTTTCCTATAGTTATATCAATGAAATTCCATTTTTAAGTTAGAAGTGTAATCATTTCGTGGCTGAACACTCGTAAATGTTATTGATCAAAAATAGTGTTGAAACGATTGTTTCTATTATATTATAATATTAGTTAAATCATGGTTATAATATACTATACATTATTACAGTCGTTTAAATGCCGCTAATTTAGATCTTTAATTTATACAAAACCCTGTCCGAATATCGTTATAAATAAGTCATAAAAATACTAATGCTTATGGTTATCCTTATGACTTGATAAAATAAAGTATTATTAGAAATTTTATTAATTTTTATAACTTTGTATATTTTTTTGGTTTAAACATAACCAATTTAAAAAATAAATAAATAAATAAATATGTATGTATTTATATACACATAAAATCGTATTTTTGATTTATTTTTGAGCGTAGGTACAATAGGTACAATAGGTACATATACCACATATTTAATTCAAGTATATTGTTTTACACATTAACATTTCAAGAAAAATTATATATATATATATATATTTATAACAAATATCAACTTGTTATGTATGCAACTATAAATTTATTTTATGCGATAATCATGAAAAATATTATAATAAGTATCAAGCCGATATGGTCAACAAAATAAACGTCAAGTTTTTATCACGGCGCTCTGGGTATGCAATATTGATGCGTGTTTAAGTATACATTTTCAATAGTTAGTTCATACTGTGATCATAAAAATAAATTAAAATAATAAAATAAAAGTAAATTTTTAATTTTATTATTTTATTTAGACCTACCTTATTTTATTGCAATGACAATAATCATTTTACATATTATATGACTAACTTACACGCATATTTTATGTTTGTATTAAATTTACATTATTATTTTAATGTTAACCCATGTTTAATATACAAGTTTACTTGTGTATAGGATTATTATAGTTTCAATTTGGCTTTGATATAGATACGTTTTTTTTTTTTTTTTTTTGATTAAAATAAATTCAGATTGTTGGGATGTTTATACTACTATTATTATACTTACATTATATGACCATTCAGCATGTAATTATATGGCTTTTTTCAGGTTGTAACACTCTAGCAGTTTTCACTTTACTTATTATCATTAAAAGTAATACTATTGCTATTACGATTTTAAAAGATAATTACAACGCTACTGTAAAGAAAAGCATGGTAAAAGCCTCAGATTGTTGTACGTATATATACGTATTATACAAGTACCCATAACTGAAGAAAACCATAAGACAGGTCATATGTTCAAGTAAAGTTTTCGAAGCAATAACATATTATTTCGCAATTAGAATTCATTGTATGCCCATTTTGTGTAGGACTACAAGGTTATGAAAATTTATGGTTAATTAATATAATCCTTGCACCTATTTTCACTATGGAAACAGTTGAAAGCTTCATAAAATACGATTTATATAATTTGAAGAAATGCTGTTAACTGAAGTCTGCGCGTAATACAATATTTTCAAATATACAATCTAAAGATGTATGGTACACTAAGTATATAATTGCTAAACAAAATAATATTATTACTAACTAATTTATTGAAGAAATCATTCAGGTACAGGATTTGTAAAATACTATATATTATCTGTTAATTAAAACAATATACCTACAGTTCATTCATAAGCATAATTTATTTTTATACAGGTAGTCTGATTTTACATTATTCGATCGAAAATTATACAATTAAATATTCAATAATCAACATAATATATTATCATACGTATATTTTTTACCTCTTACTTTAAATATGATATAATTTTAATTAATTTACGTTATATATTAATCTTGTTTTATCAACCAATTATGCTAAACAATATTTGAAAATTAATATAAAGAGTTTATTAAATAAGTTTAATAATTTAATTTAAAAGTTCTGAGATCAAATACTTAGTATATTGTTATTAACGATATCATTTTGACGGAAGATGATATCCAAGTAAATAGATCAAAACTTTAAATCTAATTAGATGTTATTATCAATTATATCGTAGTTGTGTAAAAACTTTAAGTTTTACAGTAACTAGCAATAACAGATTTTTCCTGATGTCTCAAACAAATCTAAATTTCTAAAAATAAAAATTCGTTAAGTACAAAAATGGCTTAAATACTACATAAAAAAAAAATATCTTTAATATTTTTTCAGTAATCTATGTTTATAAAATGATATACTCTAAACAATCATTACAATACAATAAATTTATATTTATTAATAATTAATTTAATGCCAAAAGTTAATTCTTATGTTCATAAAAATATTTAAAGTAGTTTTATATTTTCCCAAGTTAAAATAAAAAAATTGAATATTTAAATTTTTCCTAATTTGCTTATAAATGACCGAATGCTCAACACAAAGCTGTCATTGTTATTTTTTTTTTAATTAATGTTTGTT